CAGAACTGGTGCCTCGTGAGAGCACACTACAACTCTAATATAATAACTGCTTGTAGACAGAGATGAAAGCTTTAAGCTTTTTTGCAAGTTTATTTTCATTAATTAACTTGTACTTCCATGCATCCGTTGTCTAATCAGCTTATCCACTACAGGGGCACAGTGGAGCCAGAGCCTATCCCAGGGTACACCCTGGACAGGCCGTCAGTCCATCAGAAGGCAACACAACATAGTTGCACCAGATTCTCTGAGCTGTTAAATCTCCAAACCTGAGAAACAACCCCAAAAAACTGATATGGTCCAAAACGAAACCAGTGTTGAAAATGGGTGTCACCTGGGGGGAACCATGCAGACTCCACACAGACAGAGCCCACGGTTCCAGAACCCCTGACCTGTGAGGAGGCGGAGCCTCTGCACACTGTTGTCCTTCTATAGAGCAGAGGAGTCGGGGCAGCAGCCATCTCACCCTGCAGCTCCCAGCTGGCAGCCCACTGGAGCTCAGCAGGTGTGAGCCTGGCCAGTACCTGGAGGGGAGACTCCTGGGAAAGCTAAGGCTGCTGCTGGAAGTGGAGTTAGTGGGCCAGTGGGGGGCGCCCACCCTGCAGTCTGTGTGGGTGCTAATAGCCCCGGTATAGTGGCAGGGCGGAACATGCCCTTTATCTTACTGACCAAGGACAGGCAGCATCTTTATATACATTTGAGCGCAAAGCTTTAAGACACTGGACTGCATAGTTTACAAAAATGATATTATTAAATCACTTCCCAGGTGTCTCCCTTATCTCTTCAGGTTTTACCATTGTTTACATCAATCATTTCTTTCAAAAAGCAGTTTTCCATTTGTCACATCATCCTTTTTAACCTATTCTGAACTCTGAGGGGATGTATCCTCAGCCATTTCCTTCTTGATTTTCTCATTAAACTCAGCTGCTTGCTTATTACATGCATCCTGTATGGCCTCCCAACTCTTCTTACTGAAGATTCTTTGATACACTAGGTCAATTATCATTAAATTATAGAACATGCATATCAAGCGGAGGCACCCCTGCTTCTTTTCTTCAGGATTGCAATGTGTTTTGTACACCTTCAGCACAGAATTGCCAAAGATGTTATTACCTTTCATTATCTGTTGCAGTGCAAACAGGTTTCTTTCACCATCATATTGCATAAATGTAGTCTTAAATTTCTGCACGGCTTCCTCATCCTTTGGATCAGCCTTAATCAGGGTTTCCAAGGCATTTAGATGATATTGTAGTTTCTTCTGTAAATCGCTTAACATAATGTTGACTTCACCCATTTCAAGCTGTTGTCTGCAGCTCCGAATGGCTTTTGAAACCTCTTCCAGTCTTCTCATTGTGCCTTGGACTTCTTTCTCCACAGCTTCCCTATCTTTGACATTTTGGATAGCTTCGAACAGGGGAATGGCTTGCTGGAGACCAGGGATGGCGGATGCTGCAGCTTCCAAAATCACACCTGCGTATTTCAGAGCTGTCAGAATCTTTTTTTCTATCACCTGTTCAAGCGCTGCCTTATCCATGATATCAATATCTTCTCAAATAAGGAAGAAGTCAGTCCTGAAAGGAAATCAACAACACATAACTTTCTCGCCCTGTTAGAATATTCAATCATTAGAACATTCCGGAATGTAGTGGAAATAATATCATCACTACGAAATGAATTTAAGCATCTGACACTTGAAAATTATTGTAATATCTATTTTTGACCACATTTATTATGCGATTATTATAATGAAATATATTAATACATATGTTAATTAATAGAAGTATAATCTATTAATAATGAAGTTTAACTTTATTAGTAGCTGTATCTGCACCTTTAATATGACAGTGAATTTTAAGTGAAATTAAGGGAGTGTTTATAGTATAGTATTTAAATGAAGTGTACCTCTCATATGTGTCCAGTTACTGTACATCTGGGTGTCGATTGAGTGGATATGTTGTTTTTTATTGTGATGGGACTGTACACTTGTGGTTCTCAGGTAGATTGGCTGTGGTCCAATATCAACAGTGTTGAAACAGGAGGAGTGTGCCAAATATTTTGGAGACGGAACAGCAGGCTCACCCAGTCAATAAGGTTGTGTAGGACTGCATGTGGCACTGTGACAGTACTGGCTCTTATGCACACCAAGTGAGAGGCAAGCAAAATGCTTTAAGAAAGGCTCACACAGTCAGGCGCAGTGATAAACTGAAATCTCCAATGATCTGTTACAGAAGTCTGCTAAGCTTACTTTTTTTTTCTTGCAGATGAAATCCACTCCCATATGCCAGCACCTTGTATTAATGCTATTTCTATATAAAAACAAAATTGCTATGCTATTTAACCGGTGCTTTCTGTAACAATTTACTAACGCTGCTTTAATATGCAATACTTGCCTTCATCAGTCATTGTTCAACAAACCTGTAAACTTAACTTATCTAACATACTACCTCAAATGGAAAAGATCCACAAACTCTTAGATGAAGCACAACAAATGTAGTCCCAGAAAATGCACAAGACATACATTTATAGTACTGCAGACACAAATATAGCCTATACAAACTTTAAGAGCAAAAGAGCAATAGGTTTGCTTAGTCATCTGAAGGATCTCCATATGAATCTATATCATTTATCAGTGGAAATAAAAGGCGCCATAAACCTAAACTGCAGCTGGTGTACTCATGTGTTCCATAACTAACTACAGTTGAGTATTGCATTAGTGGTTACACGTCGCACATCCAATATCTGGAATATTTTAGCATAAATACAGATCTTAAATTTAACTGTCATAGACGTTCATTTATATATACTGTAAATATGAAACAGACAAAGTATGAATTCAACACAAAACATTTAGAATTGTTTTCTATATTGTCTAATTACAGTATCAGATGAGGTTGTGTTGGTTTGGTGTGAGGGTTGCATTAATTTCTTCTGTTCCTTGAATGAAATTTTGTTTCACTTGTCACTTACAAAGCATTTGCCATGTTCTAATGTAATAGTTCAAGTTAGTTCCATAACTTACCGTACAATAATAATAATAATAATAATAATTGCTTACACTTATATAGCGCTTTTCTGGACACTCCACTCAAAGCGCTTTACAGGTAATGGGGACTCCCCTGCACCACCACAATGTACCTAGCAATTTCTATTGTCAGAATATGCTTGTCAGAACAGTTATTGGATGTTACTTTGGAATTCGGAAAAATTGATATAAAGCCAAGAAGCCTGCCCTTTCAGAAACCTCTGTGTATATATAAGGGTGGTCATCAGCTCCAGAGACACAGATGATCTCTGCTACAAACCAAAGAACACTTCAGCACATATCTTAGGAATATAGGTAAGACTTGTGTCATTTCACTTTAACTCATTGCAATGCAGATCAATATTGCTTTCAAATGCTGATCTTTATGGTTCTGTTCTATGCTACATTGATTTAAATAGTGGGAAATTGTTTAATAAACTGCAAAGAAATGGTTATGGCATTAACCATTGTAAGTGTCTCATATTAAACAAATTAATGTGAAAGAAATATTCACTTAAGACTGCTTTAGCAGGCAGGTCTAGGGAGAACTAGAAGTATTGAAATGCTTCATTATCATAGGAATTTGTGACTTGAATACAAATTTACAAAGTGCTAATGTTAGCACACAAACCAAAAATATGTCTTATACTAATATGCCTATAGTATGTTCACGACATTCAGTATTATCGTGTGTTCATATGCAGTTGCATTTTTTTTCTGTATTGTTGGTAAGCAAGGAATTATTCAGAAATTATTTAACATGACAGCAGTTTTTAATAACGTAGATTTACTATATATCTGGTGCACATCATTTAATACATGTTCATCTTTAACATTCCTACTATTAGTTTTAATTTATGGAGTAAATCTAAAACAATCATTTCAGTGCTTTTACTGGTCTGTAATTACTGGTTCAGATAAAAAACTGTTTTTTTTATTTTAAGCTTTTTCACTCTTGTTTTTCATTACAATCAACTTTCCAGTCTCATTCTGGATTTGTAAACCTGTCTTTTTTTTATCATATTCACAATATTCCCGATACAGTTTGCTGTCACTTTCAACTCAAGTTTCAGGATCTTGCAACGCCTCCAGTTTTGATTATTTTTGTGGCTGTTTTTTGTGTTCAAGAACTTAGATACTGAAGATTCCCCATGAACTGAAATTCTGTGTAGGTGCTTATGCAGACTATTTTATCCATTTCTCTTTTGTTTTGTGTTTCCATTTAAAGAACAGGCAGCCGTAGCTGAAGAGAGGAGTTACTGTAAATGAGTTTGCAATAACAGGAGCATTGCTGTCACATCAGATAAAAAGGTGTGGAGGGAAGTATTATTATTTTCTGATCGCCTTAAAACCTGGAGTACATCCGATACCCCTGAATCGCAGGCAGGAACTTCACACAGCAGATATGCAGCAAAAGAGACAAGTAGTTCCACACACAGCCAGGAGATGGCGTTCAAAACTCAAGTTTATATACTTTCCAGGAATCAAAAGTGAGAATTTAAAAAAAGGCTACACCTCATTAGGGAATCCCAATTGTACACGGGTGACTCTCACGGAGATCTGAGAAGAGAGAGAAGTAGTTCTCTCTCTAGGAAAGATTTGAAAAACTGCAGTCGCTGCTCAATCCCTAAGTACACTGCGAGAGTCTGACTGAAGAAGAATGAACCACATCCATGTGCAACAGCAGCACTAACTGACCCTCTTAAATCCTGCAGCTGTCAATCTGCCAACTCTTGGGTTCATGGGTCTGAATTCTTATTCATTCAACACATTTCAGTTTTTTTCCCCTCTAGTCGCTGCTGGTGTTTTCTAAAACCTAATAAACTCCTAATCTGGGAAATGCCTCTATTTGCCCCGATATGACCTCTGCGATCTTTGGTGATGTTTGTCTTGAGAACTGTCTTTTTGTTATATTGTTGTGTTGGACATTATCATATAACAAATATCCCCCAGGGGATGATTATGATAATAATAATAACTTGTATTATTGTTTTTATTTAACCTAAATTGTGCCACATAACTTAAGACCATGTTAGCCTCTTCATTTGATACTAGCATTACCAACTTTTCAATGCTACACCATTACATCTCCTATAATTTTCACTTCTTTATTCCTGCTCAGATTTCCTGGATAATATTAGAAATACAAAAACAAATATTAAAAAGTATAGAGGACTGAGCAAAAAAAAAATAGAAGTCTGTCGAAGCTCTGGTTTGACATTAGAAATCCACGATACTTGTAAAAAGCAAGCATCCTTCTGCTGACACTGTGTCTGAAAGGGTACTGTATGTCACAAGGCACTAGATGAGTCCAGTTATCAAGCTGTGGGTCTCTTGTTTGCTTTTTTTTAGGACCTAAAAAAACCAACCTGCTCTGCAAAACACAAGAAAATATCACTTCTTTCAGTCTAATAAAGATGGAATTTCTCCTACAAAACAGGAAATGTGTTGATGTTGGAACAGATGTGCTTGATATTCTGGCTCGTAAAGCTGCTGAGCTGCATCCTGCACTGAAGCTTTTAACATTCATTTCAAGACAAATCCTTGACTGCCCGGAAAGCACCGAAGCCCAGTACTTCATAGGGCAGCTGAGCAAGCTGAATGAAAAAATAGGAAGCATTCAAACTGATTTCAAAGACCTTCAGAGTGAAATAGAAAAAAGTTTTATGAATCAGCAATATTACAACGACGAAATTACAATTTTACACCACTACGATCTATTTTTGAAATTAATGAAGACCTACACCGCTGATAAAAAAGACGAATCTGACAAGATCCACTTCTTCGACCAAGTGGATGGCACGGATGTGACGATCATGGAGCTGTACGAAGGCGTGATGGGCAGCAACAACCAGAGGCCTATTCTGGACATAATTAGAGATAACAAGAAGAGAAGCCTCCAGAGTGTGGAGCAGTTCTGCATTCATCTGAAGAAACTGTTTGTCATGGAGCTGGTCGTCTTGTGCACCCATTCCAAGCTGAAGGGGAACGGGAAAGAGGAGAAGCTGATGGAAGAGTGGGGAGAGAAGCTCAAGGACGTGAACAGAAAGATAAAGGAAGTCATAGACGACTGCACTGACAACTTCGCCGTGCAGGCCAGGAGTGACATGGAGGGGCTGCTGCAAGGGGGGGGGGCCGACAAGGACGATGAGGAGCTTCCCAAGCAGCTCCTGTCCTTCCTGGAGAAGAAGTATAACTGGGTCTCGTGGTCAGTGCGAATCTTTAACCCCTCAGAAAGTAGGATCTGGAAGCTGCTGGCAGGCAACAAGTACACCAGCATCAGCGGCTGCAACCATTTTTCTGTGGAGCTTCAAAACATACAACTGGTCGTGTCCTACTGCCAGCACCCCAAGCCCATCCCGAAGGATGACATTGAAAAACTAGTTGAGACAATGGGATGGAGACGGAACACGGCTGGCGTGGTCAAGACCCTCCACCGCCGTTTCCCACGGTACCTTGCTCATGTGGTCAGCACCGTAAAGAATGTTAAGGAAGCAAACAACTTTAAGGATGACCATTACTATTTCAAAAAGCACAACGTGGCTTATATCTGCATTCATTCAGAATAGTCACTGTCCACATCGCGTATCTTCAGACTAGATCTTCCATGACATTTAAGCCAGTAAGTATTTGAAGCAAGGCTTACCTTTCAACAAATAAATCAAATATTTTATGTTGCATGTATTACCACATCTAGCATTAGATAAGTATCAGAAATTTAGCTAATTTTAGAATGCCTTGATATAAGCTTTTTTGTCTAGCTTTGGAGGGGTCTTTACTGAGAACTACTTAGAAACATTTCCCAAAATGGTTGAGAATCTGTACATGATCTGATTATTGTACATCTGAGTTTTTGTATTTCTGCCGTTCACAGTAAATATCAAGCTTCCTTTAGATTCTCTTTATAATGTGTTGCCAGTAGAAACAGAATAAAAAAAGTTGAAAAATGTATTTTGATTTTTTTTATGTGGAAAGTTATTGCCCTTTCTGAACGATGTCTTAAACGTTAGCTTTCTTCAAAATGCAGCAACATAATTAAAGTAACTTATTTATTTATAAAGTGCCTTTCCAAACCCAAGGATGCTGTACATAACGCTAGAGAAAAATAACAAAAATGTTCAATAAAAAGTTCACAAAAAAATCCAACAAGAACATACGAGATCGAATGTAGGGCAACCAGACATACAGCAGACGCTAGTAAAAGGGTGAGTTTTGAGTTTAGATTTGAAGAGTCAAAAAATCTCTCTCTAAGAGTCAGAGGAAGGGCATTCCATAACACTGGAGCAGCAACAAAAAAGTCAAGTCACCAAAAATCCACAATTTAGTCCTGGGTATAGTGAGCAAATGACCAGCCCCAGCTGAACAGAGCACCTTTCCAAACATGAGGATGCTGTACTGCACATAGTGATAAGACAAATGGAACAAGAATACAATAAAAAGTAAATAAAGTGAGGGGGTGGGGAGAACATACAGGATAAACTGTAAGGAAATCAGACATGAGCCCCAGTAAAAATGGGAGTTTTAAGTTTCGATTTCAAAAACCGTCAAAGAATTTGCTTTCAAAGAGTTGGAGGAAGGGCATTCCATAACACTGGAGCAGCAACAGAAGAAGTATGACCGGCAAACGTCTGAGGTATAGTCCTGATTAAAGTGAGCAAACAAGTTCAGAGATACAAGATGGAAAGTTGGTTCATTTTGTGCATATTATTTGGTAACCAGAGTTAAATGAATAATTAAACGTGTATTTTCAACAGAGATTTTCTGTTATAAATCGTGGAGTCCACTTCACCCCTGAAGAAAACTCCACGGCCATAATGTTGTCTCTTTTCTCTTCCTTTCAGCAGAGAATAAACCTTTACTTGTTCCTTTGCAGCCTACGCATGCTGACGCAGCCCCCTACTTGAACATCTGTAGTTATATGTTGTGTCAGTCATTTTTGTAATTACAGTCCTGATAATAGAGCCCTGGACTTCATTAGCCACCACATGTGTTACAGGCTGAAGGCAGCTTAGCAGGCGCCTAGCTGGAGTAAAGTCTGCCTCTGTTTCAATCAATATCCCATTGAGGCAATAACTGCAGTCTGTGGTCCAATGAAGTCACCAAACACCAAACCCCCTTCTTGCCTCAAAGGGCTCTGATATGAAACAGTACATTTTACACTCTAAAACTGACTTTGTATGAGTATGCTCACTTGGAATGACTGGGTTGAATCCTACCTGCTCATGCTTTCCAGCCTGACCAGTGTGTCACAGTCGGTCAGTGATGTAGCTGGATTCAAACTGGCAAATATCAGGCAATGAGTCTCACCCTGACCTCCGCAGGAACACAGCTGCTCTGAAGCAAACTTCTAGGGATACTCTTTTGCCTTTAGACACAACAGAGATGTATATGCTTGTACCAATATGGCACAGTAATGATTCCTTTCATCTCCTGAGTTGTGATGAGAATAAAATATATTGAATAACTGTAATTACCATTCATGCATTTCCTATTCACTGCCCCTACAGTCTTTTTGATCTCTCTAAATGTTAAACTAATCTGTGCAGCAGCTCAACAAATAATAATAATAAAATAATAATAATTGCTTACACTTATATAGTGCTTTTCTGGACACTCCACTCAAAGCGCTTTACAGGTAATGGGGATCCCCTCCACCACCAGCAGTGTGCAGCCCCACCTGGATGATGCGACAGCAGCCATAGTGCGCCAGAACGCTCCCCACACACCAGCTCTCAGTGGGGAGGAGAGCAGAGTGATGAAGCCAATTCATAGAGGGGGATTGTTAGGAGACCATGATTGATAAGGGCCAATGGGAAATTTGGCCAGGACGCCGGGGTTACACCCCTACTCTTTTCGAGAAACACCCTGGGATTTTTAATGACCACAGAGAGTCAGGATCTCAGTTTTACGTCTCATCCGAAGGACGGCGCCTGTTTACAGTATAGTGTCCCCATCACTATACTGGGGCATTAGGACCCACATGGACCGCAGGGTGAGCGCCCCCTGCTGGCCCCACTAACACCTCTTCCAAATGAAGAGACAGTTAATGGCAGGGATGGCAGGAAGGCATTAGCCACAGAAATGCCCCCTCCTTAGTGCAATGGGTCAGTTCTCAGCCTGGTACACACAGTTTCAATGCCAGCCCGGCACTCAGAAAAATCATCCAGCACAGAGGGAAATGTTCCTTAGCGTGACCGAGGCCCGTCTGTGTGTCCTGTCACTGATGGCTCCGAATTCGAGTTCAGATTGATGTCAGCTTGATATTATGATTCCTGTTTGACATCTAGAGCTCGTGTTTGTCATTGGGAAGGCAGTAGCAAAAAACAGGGTTAGGATCTCTGAGCCCTGGGGATGTAGGAAGGGTCAGCGAGCAGCAGAGACAGGGGTGTCTGGCAGAGCAGGCTTTTTAAGGACATCAGGACTTGGACCCTATGGAACAGGCTTCTGCATCCTGCCAGAATGAGCATCATATTCCCAAAGTGGGCTCTAAATACAGGCACCCCTGGAGGATGTGACAAGACTGTCCTTGTCCTTCAAAAAGCCTTGCCTACACAGAACCGGTTACATTACATTTCAGTAGGAGGAAGTGGGGATTCATAGACTACACAGACGACCAAATCAGACGTGACGAGCTCACTAATCTGCAGGCACAGAGAAAGAAGACATGGAGGACTGTGGAAAGATTGCTAAAGGGGCAAATATAAACACAAAATACCTTTTTTTCCCCCCATTACTATATGAAAACAATTCTCCCAATTCTGGGTCATGGGCGATCCAGAGTCTATCCCAGCATGCAACACGTGCAATGTGGGACACACCCTGGATGGGACACCAGTCCATCACAGGGCACACACAGACACACACACACACTCTCATCAGGGCCAATTTTGCCAGTAGCCAATTAACCCACTAGTAAATCTTTGGAGACTGGAGCACCTGCAAGAAACCCCACGTGAACATAGGGAGAACATGCAAACTCCACACAGACAGCACCCCAGGTCTGGAATTAAACCCAGGGTTCCAGCACTGTGAGGCTGCAATGCTGATCAGTGTGGCACCAGAATCCATGCTACTTTCAGGGATATGTGCTAGGTCAACTTATCCAAAAAAATAAATTTTACAGAATTAACACCAGACATAGAGCTTAGTTCTCAGAGAGTAGGTAACATATACTGTACACGTACGTTTGTTAATACGCGATGTGATATGATAGCATAAACAAAATATGAAATAAAACGCGACAATAAAGGTGCTCTTCCTCTTCTCACCTGCAGGCGGCGCTACAGTACAGTAGATCACTCTGGTCTGCTATGAAGTATTTTGAGGAATGAAAACGTGAGTTTCAAACGGATCGGCAAACACTACAGCCAGCTGATTAACTGATCCTGCTCCAGGACAGCTCGATTTCTAGACAAATCGATGAAACGCTAGAAATTCAACACCATTCCAGATTTCAGCGGACCCAAACTAAAAGCCATTAGCGCTGCATTTTCATAGTTCATTGATCTGAGCTTGGCGTCCTTAACGGATCAACCCTGTCAGCACCATTTATGTCTGATCTCTTTGCAGCCCCAGGGGTGCGGTGTTAAAGAGCGAGGACCGCTTTCCGTGTTCGACTGCAAATCCTCACAGGAAGCAGTTCAATGGGTCAACCCGCCGCTGTGTCAAAACAGCGGAATATCCATCTGCTGTACTTTTTTTGTAGGACAAAAGTAGGCAGAAATCAATTCAATTCAATCATAGTAAAACACCATCAAAACTGAAAAAATAAAAATGACAAATGTCTATAGTTCACACATCACACAGCGCTAAATCTATATCGATGTAACCTGAAATTTCCACTCAATGTACTGACAAATCTCGGTGCTTTTCTGGGTACTCGGAAGTTCTCCCAGTTTCAAAAGACACAGTGACTAGGTTGACTAATACCTTTAAACTGCCCCTCTGTCTGTGAACCCCATGACGGACTGGGGTTCAGACCAGGATATAGTGTGACCTTGCTCTCCAGGCTTAACGGAGCTTGTGATGTGTAACGCTGACGTACGCGGTAGTCCCCGCTAGAGGGCAGCATGTGACTGCACTCCACTAAAGACCGGGCGCGCCGGCTCGTCTATGTTAACCAAGGATTCCGGACTCGGCTCTTGAGGACGCGCAAATTTACTGGTTTTCCTTTCAGCTGAACTCCCGATACTGTGACACTATTGGCCTCGAGGGTTGAAATATTGAACCTTTAAAATGAACAAACTCTAAGCTGGAGTCTTTAATTGCTTACAGTCCTTAAACATGTTGGAATTTTGCGGAGGAACTGGGAAATACTCCAGTATTTGCGTTTCCCTACTGTCTCTTGCATTAATGTAAGATCAACTTCCGAGTAGAAAACAAACTTGCAAAACATACTAGGGCTCAAGCGAAACCAGCAGGCTGCAGGTTAATGAGCACACACGAGAAGTGTTCATGTAAAGAAAAATGAATTGTTCTACTTGGGAAATAAACGCATAGTGCAAAAACAGACCTCGTGCAAAGGAAAACTGTGTCGTGCTTCACAATGCCGATCTCAGTTATGGACTGTCTCGCTATTCTGTACAGCATGGCCCTGGCCACAATTTTAGGCTACCCCAGTAAATGGTTTTGAGGAGCATGTGACACTCCCTGCTCGGCTTCTCTGACCAGAGCAATTCCCAGATCGCAATCCGAATCAAAACCAATAGAACAGGAACATGCAGCGCAATCCCACACACCAGTATGCTGATCATAGCTTTAAAACAGCTAAAAGCTATGGGGTGTAGTGGTGGCTCTGTGGCTCAGGATCTGCACCTGTGGCTGGAAGGTTACCAGTTCAAATCCCGTGGCCGGCAGAGGAATTCTACTCTATTGGGCCCCTGAGCAAGGCCCTGAACCCCAACTGCTCCAGGGGTTCTGTACAATGGCAGACCCTGCGCTCTGACCCCAGGCTCTCTCCCTGTCTGTGTGTCTCATGGAGAGCAAGCTGGGGTATGTGAAAAGACAACTTCCTAATGCAAGAAATTGTATAGGGCTAATAAAGTGATGTTAAAACATAAGCATGTTGCAGGGCTTGGTGCCGCCGAGCTGTAAATATTTCAAACAGGCCATAGAAAGTGTGCCAAATGCAAGTTCAGTGGTCTCTGTCACTCACAGAGCCCTGAACACCAATATTTTGGTCAGCAAATGTAACTGGAACAGTGATCAATTGGACCAAACTTTCCTATTAAATGTAATGTAGTGAAAGATTGTCTCTGATCTGATTTTTCAGGCAAACGGCAGAGAAAGCCAACTTTCACAGCTGGCAAGAATAAAGAATGTGAGAAAACGATAAGATGTCATATCTATGTGTATGAAAAAAACAAATGTTTTGATAAATATTTTGTGGGAAAAAAGGAAGTGGACATTCAGTATGCGTCTTACTGCTTTCACTGTTTTTTACTGGACAGCACCTTGATCATTTGGGGGGTGTTTTTGTCTTTTTAAAAAAGATAAAGAGCATGCCTTGAGAAACGTTAACCCAGGTCACACAGTTCCACGATGGTGTTCCCAGAATCAGAGACGGAGCACGTACTCAACCTTACAAAGAGTTACACACCAGCAAGACCCAGACCTCCCACAGCAGGTGTGACAAGGGTGACAAATCTCAAGCCAACACCCACAGATATGACAGAATAGAGTACAGCACTAGCCCACAACCACAAGTTCATCAGAAACGATATCTGAATCAGCCTAGTGGTCTCCTCAGGAAAATACTCAGAATTAATAGAGTCTAGCATTTCAAAACGCACATCAACGAGCCTGGTAAGTTCTCTGACAACATCCAATGGGTTGAAAGCAGGGACAATACATAGGCTGTACTGTCAAAAATATGTGAAATTGTAAAATTGCTTTTAGCAAAGAACTGCTCTGGACTCATATCTCACCTGGTAGCTGTAGGCTCTAGCCTCCCATTTCAGCATGACAACAAACCTTAGCACAAGGGCAAATAACTCCATATCCAAAGAGGGTAAGATTGATACAGCATCCCCAGCCCAATCAGACGATCTGTATGTACACATCCACACATTTTAATAATAATTAATAACTCCTCACACTTATATAGCACTTTTCTGGACACTCCACTCAAAGCTCTTTACAGGTAATGGGGATCCCCTCCACCACCACCAGTGGGCAGCCCCACCTGAATGATGCGACTGCAGCCAAAGTGAGCCTGTCCGCTCCCCACACACCAGCTCTCAGTGGGCAGGAGACCAGAGTGATGAAGCCAGTTCAGAGATGGGGGTTATAAGGAGGCCATGACTACTAAAGGCCAATGGGAAATTTGGCCAGGACACCAGGGTTACACCCCTACTCTTTTTGAGAAACACCCTGGGATTTTTAATGACCACAGAGAGTCAGGACCTCGGTTTTATGTCTCATCCGAAGGACAGTGCATTTTTGCAGTATAGTGTCCCCGTCACTATACTGGGGCATTAGGACCCACACAGACTAGAGGGTTAGCACCCCCTGCTGGTCCCCCTCAGCTTTCCCAGGAGTCTCCCATCCAGGTGCTGACCAGGCTCACACCTGCAGAGCTTCAGCAGGTTGTCAGTTGCAGGGTGATAGAGCTGCCTGATAAACAATTCATCCAGATCATGGTCACAGGGGGCTCAAGTCTATCCCAGCAAGCAATTGACACAAGGGAGGGCACACCCTGGACAGGACTTCAGTCCATCACAGCCTACACACAATCACAACAGAGCCAATATTTTCCAGAAGCCAATTAACCTACTGTACCAGTATGTCCTTGAACTGTGGAAGGAAACCACCTAAAGGAAACACACCAAAAACAATTTTCCCACCAGTGCGTCTTTGGACTGTGGGAAACTGGAGCACCTTCAGGAAACCTACGTGAACACGGGAAGAACATGCAGACTCCACACAGACAGCACTCTGGGAATTGAACCCAGGGCCCCAGCACTGCAAGGCACCACTAACCACTGTGGCAGCATGCCGCCCCATCTGCATCTCACTAAATAATTAAATGCTCAATGCGAAGGTGAGGAAGGACACGTTCGTAACCTCTTCAAGACAACAAAAGCAGCCCGGAATGTGTCAAATCGCGGCCCGCGCGGGACACAGACGCTGGAAGGGGAGACACTGGAGGTCTGTCTGCTGGGACACCGGAGGGACACATTCGCGTGGAGTTCACTCCCAGCGATGATTGCTTTTCCTGTTTTTTTTAATCCTCTGAACCTGAACATCAATTAAAACGCACACACACCCTCGCGCTGAGTAGCGGTTCCCGATTCACTTATTAAAAAAAAAAATCTTCTTTAATATTAACAATTATTTACAAGAGTACAACAACACGACCGTTGCATTTCTAAGCACATTCGTAGCAATTCTAGAGTAGAGTTTATGGGGGCACCGCTCCATTTTGTTTTAACGGATCCCATTTAGCAAAATGTTTTCAAAAAGAAGCAACACAAGACATTCATTATATCTGTAATAGTGGTAACTGACCGACAGATATGAAGACTTTTTAAACAAAAATCTGTTATTACCTGCCATTCACACGATATACACGTATAATTAGATATGACGTTCAAAGCCTCGCTCATTTCGAGATGTATACCCTGAAAAGAAAGGGGCTAATGGCCACTCCATGTGTCACAGTAAATCATGTATAATTGTAGTATTAGAGCAGATAAAGTTAATTAATAAATAAAGTGAATTTTAAAAATAAAAAACTGAAAATGGAGCGTATTTCATGTAATTCAGGGCTCATTCGACACCATTAACCCTTTCATGATTTAAGGAGAGGCCACGGTGCCCTTAAAAACACGGTTTCCTTTCATTCAACTTCAAAGAACACGTTAAATGAAAAAGTCATGTTTACCTTCTAACACGTATAACCAGGCAAAAGCTCTTACCGGACTGGCTGTGGAGCTAGAGGCTCTTCTGAAGGGTGTCCCCTGGTAAGTGCGCAGTTTTCCTCTCGCTTCTGCCTTCATCTGAGCGCATTTCTCTCACGGTTCCCCGGCACTCTTATCGCAACGTATTTATTTCCTTATTTCCGATCAAACAACAATCCAATCTGACACAACAGCTCTGCGCGGTGTCCAAACCCCTTCCCCGCAGGTGTGAGACCACTTAGTGGAAAGGCTGCGTGGACAGACGTTCCAAATCCACGCGAAACTCAGAGGTCTGGCTGGCCGCTCGGCGTGCAAGACCCCCCTCCTCCTCCTCACCCCCCTAATTCGGCTCGCCTGTTAGCCTCCCAGTCTCTGAACAGATGCGCAACATCTCCAGCCCGACAGCCCCGGGAGAAGCAGCATCACTGTCCAGACCGAGAGCAAGTCCAACTCGCCGCCGCTGGATACCCGCGCTCGGCGTGGAGGACGAGACAAGCCGGTGAGCGCAGGTACAGTACGCAGCGCCTCTGTTCTTGTCTTTAAAACCCGTGAAGACCTCCCGAGAGAGGTGAACGTGTTCTCAAGTAGACTAGCTGTTCCGAAGGTGTGTCTGAGCTAGTTTTATAAGAGGGTATTTGCGCATTTGCCATTTAGGTTTTAAACCATTTTATTTATTTTTTTTCCTGCAAAGCTGTTGAGAAGCGTTTTTTCCCCCTTCATGAGGATTTTGTTTTTCAAAATATGAACGGCTGTGTTCCCTAGAATCTGCCACTATACTGTAGGTAGAAAAGCTCACCTATGGAGAACCTGCGCCGTTGCAGGCAGGGTTTAGGAGTGGGAGACTGTGGCAGAGGCCAGACAGGAGAGGATAGTTAACACACCGACGCGCCATTTCGCGGCGCAGGAGCCTGAAGAAGCCGCCCGCGTCAGGGAAGAGGTTCGTGACAAAGCATCTTTGGGGAAGTCTCTCGGTGCCCTTGATTTCGGCTAAAACACCCCCTGAGTAACAGTTTCCCCTCTGTTGGCCTGGAACGTTCGCAGAGCCCCCAAACTAACTTCAGCTGGTGCTTTTCGGAGCTTTTAATCAGCCCGATTGCACCGCGCTGTTCTGCATCCCGTTAAGCGCCTGAGCGCCCGAGGCAGGTGTACTGCGCCAAGACAGGTCGGATTCCGCGCACTGCCGGCCGAGCGCCTCTCTCCCAGCCCCGCTGGAGCCGGGAGAGGTGTTTGCACTCTTTGCTGGGGCTGAGAAATGACCCTGAATCAGGCATTTCCAGATTCCAAAGCTTAAACGTTACCGAATTACAGGATTAACCCAGTTTTCTTAAATCTGGTCTACGGGCAACGAACTACCCTCTAAATAAGGAGGTTCCTGCGTTAAATACGGAGCTGTGTTACAGTACGTGCATTTTTCGCATGTTGTAGAACATGAAGTTGATTTTTAACTGACGTTGTGCTGCATCGTTCAGAAAGCGGTCAGAAGACTGTTATTGATTGAAAAGCAAGCCGTCCAGCAGCTCCGGAAACAGGGTGGTGCCCGGTAGTCATCTCTCATGACAGGAGCACTGCGGACATAAAGACCATCAGTCTGGGGGGGGAGAAGGATACAAAATGGCGGCTCTACAAAAACGCACTAACTTGTAGTTCTTTAAATCCTCTTGCTTACCTGATATAGCCCTTAAACACTACTTGTCTTCCACGTCCCTTCTGCGCAGTGCAGCCCCCGATGATGCCCAGCCCTCTGGAAAAAGCAGTGGCCCAGAAGAAGGAGGCCATCGAGGCGGTGATGGAGATGTTCGAGAGGGGGGCCGAAGTCTTGGCCAGCGCCGTGGGGGAGCTCTTCCCCCTGTGCGAGGCGGCCGCCCCCGTCCTCCGGCTGGCCCTGGACAACGTGCAGAGCAAGGAGGTCTTCTACGTGAAGGAGCAGTTCCAGGCGGTGCGCAACAAGCTGGACGTCATCTCGGAGGAGCTGGAGGACATCGACCGGGAGATCAGGAAGAGCCTGGTGGACACCCAGTACTTCTCCGTGGAGGAGAACCTGCGGAACCAGTTCCGCAAGTACATGGACATCCTGAACGCCAAGCCGGAGTTCCAGGAGGTCAAGAAGAAGCTCTTCCTGGAGCACTTCAGCAGGACGGGGGGCGACAAGAACCTCCACGTGCTCTACGACGCCGTGATGGGCTGCAGCACCTTCGGGGAGTCCGTCCTGGAGGTGGTGCTGAGATACGAGGCGAGGAACCGGCGGCTGCTGGAAGACTTCTGCGTCCGCCTGAAGGAGCTCTTCTGCCTGGGGCTGATCGCCCTGCTGGGCCACTCGGCCCTCTCCCTGGGGGAGGACGAGGAAGAGGAGCTGATCCGCGAGTGGGGGGGGAAGACGCTGGAGGTGGAGAGGAGGATGAAGGCGGCCGTCGACGAGTGCGTGGCGGCCTTCCCGGAGCAGGCCCGGCTGGACGCGGAGCGCCTGGTCAAGGAGGACGAGGGGCGGGGCCACGAGGGGGTGGCCAGGGCCCTCCGGGACTTCCTGGCCAGGAAGTACGACTGGGTGAAGTGGTCGGTGAGGGTGTTCAAGCGCTCCGGCGGCGGCTTCCGCGCCTGGCGGGCGGGCGAGAACTTCCACTGCGTGGCGGGCGGCAACTGGTTCGACCTGACGCAGGCGAGCGACACCGACGTGGTGGTGTCCTACAGCGGCCAGCCCCGCGCCGTGCCCACGGAGGGCATCCGGCGGGCGATGGAGGGGCCGTGCCGCAGGGGCGACGCCAGGGCGGTGGCAGAGGCCATCGCTCAGGAGACCCCCGGCTACGTCGTTCACGCGATCAGCCGCCACAAGGAGACCTGGGCCTCCTGGAGCTTCCCGGACGACTGCCACTACTGGGAGAAGCACAGGAACGTCTTCCTGTGCGTCCATTCGGAATAACTGTGCGTTCACAAGCCAGGGCGCCGCGGTGAACGTGATGTTGTCGTTGCCCTGCGTTTTGCTCTCTGCTCGTCTAGATGATCTCTCTTCCAAGATCGAAGACGTTCTGCAAAAAAAAAAAAGAGTAGAAGCCAGTGTCACAGATCACCCAGAAGGAGATGGCCGGCTCTGGGCTCTGGGCTCTGGTGTTGAACGGGCAGAAACCAGCTGTTGCAGGTTATGAAACATCAACACACGACCGGTGCAGTCCTCACACTTGTATTGCCGTAATACATCGTTGGTCCTGATCGCTATCGATAATGACATGTCTCACTTGTAATGATTCCTTGGTCCATCATTAACGAAGGAGATGCTTGATGATGGACATGTTAAAAATGTCGAGACCTCAGGGATGGAGGAGTTTGACAGAGCCTCTAGTCGAGCAGCCTCTCCTTCAGCCATTCATTTCTCAAGGGTTTGGAAAAAGTAAAATCGCTGTACCATTGGTTACGAAAACAATTTTCTCAGTTAATTAATTTAGAGAACACTTGTATTTCACTAATACCCCATTGCACCCTCAATAACCCAGCAGCTCTAAAGGAGTTTTAGATGTGCTTCATATTATTACAACGTGATCATACAGGCAGCCTATAAACCTGCAGGATTGTGGACCACAGCTGGCCACCTGTAATTCATACTAGTCAGGAAGTTGGAGAACTTGCATGCATAGAACACAGGACAGGCAGAAGACAGCAAACCGCCTTATGTCTATCTTTCTTGTCATTAGTACGATACTGAATTCTCATTTATCTGCTCCTTAATGGATAATGAGGATTGCTGCCCATTACGATCCAGAAGGACCCTATGCAGAATCCTTAGAACTCGAAAGTAAAAGTAGAAGTTTATCCAGAAACGTGGGTCAGTGTCACACCCTCTGCAGCCAGAGGGCGCTCCTTCTTCTGTCCTGTCCCTAGTTTCCTGTTCTTTGCTCTTCTTCCGGTGTCTCTCTCTGTGGGGCTATATATTTCTGAGTCACTTATTCTGCTTCGCTCAGCATTGATGTTCGGATGACAGAGACAGAGACAGAGACAGAGACAGAGACAGAACTGTATGTTGACAAAGGAAGCAGAGTCCAAACCAGAATCACCAAGTTGAGAGCCAGAAGACAAAGTCAGAAACAAGCCAGGGGTCCAAACCTAGAAATCCTGCGACGAGAGAACAGGACACAATGCAGCTCTAGCTGGGTAAAAACCCAACACTGAGCAAGGAGTGCCGTGTCAGGCTGGTTTAAGTAGGCAGGTGGAAGAAGGTGTGTCTGATTAGTTAATTGGACTAACTGCACTGGGATGGGAACGAGCTGATTGAGGGCGGTGAGTTCTCCGGGGGCATGCCTGTCCAGCCTCATTTATTTCTCCTCCTCTCTACTTCTCGTTCTTACGTACAAAACATTTCAATTACCACAGCGCTGCTCTGAGGTGGACAGAGCTCATGTGACACGACCACTTGTCGGACGCCTGCCTGCATGTCCTGTAAATGTGCACCTTGATCACACTCAGCCAGTCTGAGGTCTCGTGGGCTCCAAACTGGGGGGGCTGTATCTGCATTCATCCTTGTCATTCCGCATGATGTCTTGATATGTACTTCGATGTCTGTCTAATGTCTTGGATTCTTCAGTCCACCTCTGTGGCTCTATCTGGGAGGATGGGAGGTGTGAGGAGTGGGAGATCTGAGCTGCTGTTACTGCTGCTCCAGTCCCTTTGAAAGTAACTAGTTGCTCAGTAATGTTCGCAGCCAGTGGGGCTCCCTAGTAAAGACTCTCGCCCCTAGCGACAGTTTCACTCTATATCCCAAATGTCATGGGTTCGAACCAGAGTCGTGTCACTAGTAGAATACCCCGCGCTGTGCAACATACTGTAACTGGCAGCGCAGCTCTGGCCCGGGCTTGGGATGAGTTGCCCAGGGGCCTCTGGGTGATTCCGGCCAATCCCTGAGCACTGTTCCATATTTGCACTGACGTCAGCGGGGGAGCCTGCACACAGACGAGTGACTCCATCTCCGTCTGTGCTTCCTCCTCCTCCTCCTCCCCAAGCCTGTTCACGAGTCCCGATCTGAACAGACGCCTGGCGATTCTGAGATGCACATTTGCACAGTTAAAAAGGGAAACTGGGTGAGTTCTTCTGCTGTAACTCTTAGTGCATTTGTGAACATTAGGCTCAGTGTTTTTTCTTTCTCTATTTGTACATACATTTGTTGGGTTGAGCACATTTAGACAACAGAAGAAAGTAGGTGACGCGAGAAATCTTCAAAACTGAAGTTGAATTAAGGCTTTATCGGTGTAGCCCAGTGGAAACTGTTAGAAAAGTTGGCTTCACCCGTTCGGAGACTCGACGACTTTGAATTCTCCTACAGCCCTGTGACTTTGTATCACAATTGAACCCTGGCATTCGAAAGTGGACCACAGCCGTAAACTACAGTATACTTAAGCAAGCCCAACAGCTGTATAAATGTGGGTATAGACTGTGGGTTTATGTTTAAAGGACTGACACAGTCCTTCAGTGTAATAAAGTTGATGAAAACACACATTCTGACTTCTGATCTCTTGCTGTCACAAGGAGTCTTGATATCTATCCACTTTTCCTAATGAGGGCCATGGAAATGAGTTTTATTACACTACAGGTTCGAAATTACAATATATAAGTAATTATTGATATTATGAGTGGATAACATTAAAGTATCCAAAGGGGCTCTGTGATAAAAAGACCATGATGTTTTCCACATGAAAAATACCCAAGTTGTAACCCATAGTACAAAGGAAATAAACTGTCCCATTTCAGTTATTACTGATTTCTACAAGTGATTTTAAAACCATATTTTTTGTTTTTTCTTCAACGCTTTAAATGTGTTGCTGGGAGAATCTTCGGTTTCAAAGCCCAGTAATGGCAACAGAGCACACGCACTGCTCTCCTGCATTAGCAATCCTTTTAGCTCCCATCAGATTTTCAAGTTTTAATATTTTAAAAAGGAAGTGACAGATCCACTCCTAATCGCTGTGTAATCAGCAAATTGCACTTGACATCAATCCACCAGCTCCTGTGCATGAGGCCATAAGTTATATCTCAATGTGTTTTTAAAATATAGTTGGATCTTGGTCCCCGGTTTATAACTGCCATAAGCACAAGTGTCAGCGCTTTCGAATTCAGGACATTTCATTTAATCGCCTGTGAATAACCTCTGTGAGCTTGTAGCTCCATTAATACAGTGGGAATGAGCTGGAAAGTGCTTCTCTCAGCAGTCTGAAATCAATCACTGCAGGGTGTCATGGTGGAGTGGAGCTGAAATTACTGCATATTTTATTGGTAACAGAACAGCTGTGTCAGGACTCTGCCCACTCAGCTCAAACGTACTTCAAAGCCATTTCTTACTGCAAGCATTTTCTGCGGGAGGATCATTTAATCTCTTGACTTGTTTCTGCATCCTTTTTGTATTAAAGTTTTAAGTTTAGTTGTTTCCTGAACATTATTGAAGACGCTGGAGACACATGGGAAGTATAGGTTGAAGTCTGAAACCCGATCCAATTCAACAAAAATACATATGAGAAAAACAGGAAGTAACAGCATGACTTTTCTGCTACTGTACTTTATCATGTGCATCAGAAATAGAAAACATTAAAACATATAGGAAGGAAATGTTTGTCCACATTGCTGCCTCACAGCGCTGGGGACCTTGGTTCAATTTCTGGGCTGCTGTCTGTGTGGAGTCTGCATGTTCTCCCCGTGTTCACATGGGTTTCCTGAAGGTGCTCCAGTTTCCCACAGTCCAAAGACACACTGGTCGGTTAGTTGGCCTCTGGGAAAATTGGTCTTGGTGTGACTGTGTGTGCGTGTGTTTGTGTCTGCGTGTCCCCTGCAATGGATAGGCGTCCCGTCCAGAGTGTGTCCTGCCCTGTGCCTGTTGCTCGCTAGTGCCCCCCACATTCCTGTCCTGGATCAAGCCATTAGAAAATGGATGGATGGAATTGTTGGGATTTTCCAAATGGGTATCAATGTTAAATATCAACCACTTCTTCCTGCTTTTTAAATTGAACTAGTGTGAATTGCATGAAGGTGAAGATGCAACTTGTGTGGTCTTCTATCATTGTTAAAATGGGAACATTAAAAGTGCTTTTTGACAAATTCAGCTCTGTACAATAGCTTGGATGCAATACACAATGAAAAGAAAAGGAAGGGAAAAAAAGAATCAATTAAAAGCACAGGAAATAAGCATAGTGAAGCCAGGAACAAAAATAAATTATACATTATAAGTTTGAATGAAATATACTGTAGGTCTTTAAAGGACATTTGAAAGAATTGATAGTCTCTTTTTTGGAGCCTGGTCTGATGTAGTAAAAAGACCCGAATCAGCAGATAGCAAATTAAGAACTAGACTAGAATCCTGCAGAGTAGAGCTAGACTATTCATTGCCTTACATTTATGCAGGAAACCCTACATTGCACTCTGAATTTCACTGGTAGCCAGTGCAGTTACTGTGGACAGGGGGTTATGGACTGATGCAGAGTATTTTCAGCACTTGAACCACAGACTTCTGGACATAATGTAACTTACTTAGTATCGATACCCCGATAAGTAAGGCAATACTGCAGTCCAATCAGGATGAAATAATTG